TACCTTTTAAGAAACAAATTGTACATGGAATTTTTTTTTTTTTTAAGTACTAGTTCAAAAAACAAAATTGAGCATAATTCTTGGGTGCCAAGATCTTTGGATTCTTGTTTTTATACTTCTCAAGAGACCCAGTTTTGAGTGTGTTCTGGGCTTCCATCCTTTCACAATCAGTTCTTTAAAGCATCTCAAATTAGGTACTCAAAAATTGAAGCAGCTGAAATCAGGAGTTACTTCTGAATATCTTGGCCAGGAAGTTTCAGGTGCAGTGTTCAGTATAAGTTGGTACCAAGTTGTTTGATATTTCATAATGCTTTACAAAGAAAGTACCTTAAATTAAATAGCCCTGGAGTTTACTGTTGTTAGATAAAGCCCTGAGTGGAAAGTACTGCTGAGAGGACAGCTCTGAATATATAGAATTATAGCGTGTAGCCCAGTAACTGAGAGGAAATCTTTAAATAATAAGTAAAGTAATACTTTCCAGTCTGTAGTGCCTTTCATGTAAGAATCTCAAAGCACTTTAGAAATATTATACCCCTTTTAGGCTGCAGCCTGCTTTACAGGCGTTCTTCTATAATGTAGATTTCAGTAGTCTAAGTTATTTGGCATCAAATCTGGTGTCAGTCATAGCTTTTTACTTCACCAATGGGAGAGTCCTGTACAAATTATTCCACTATGATGAAAAAAGTGAATTAAATTTAAAAAAACCCTGCATGGGCATGAATGTAGGAGTCTGATTTAAGCTGACTAAAACAAGGACATTCAAAACTATGAAGCCATGGATACAAAAACAGCTACCTGAGTGCACTTACATATCACAACCTGCACAGGTAAAGGATAATAGAAGCGTCTCTCTCTCTTAATGTTGAATTTTACTGCAATGTAAGTTTAAATCAGATCCTCAATCTTAATGTAACACATTTCCATGCTTTTTTTTTCTTGGTGATGTGTCCATTATCCAGAATTCATGAAGCAGGAAAACACAAAAGCATTTGCTTCTCTGGCTGTTGGAGATTAAGTTCATTTCCAGTTCATTCAGTATCTGTGGGACTAGGAGCTTTGCTTGCAGCTTCTCATTAACCAGTTCAGCACCATTTTGACATCAAGATTCACATTTGCTGCATATATGTTAAAAAGATAAACAGCTTCTGTTACAAAATTTGGTCACTGCAGTTCCCCAGAGAAGTGTATGCAATACTAGTGGTTTTATTTTCAGTCTGCAACACATTATCAGAATGCAGACACCTAGGCCATAGACTCTCTTAAACCTCTAAGTGGCACTAGACAGTGCAAGCAGGGGCTGATTTGATTTCTCTCTTGTCTGGGGAAACTATTCAATGAAAGTTCTCTCCTGATTCTGGGAAAGCCCTGAAAAAAAAAATCAAATTTCCCCACAGATTCTGCCTTGTGAGAGCCAGATTGAAGATTTTTATTAAATCTATCCTTGTATAAACCAAATTGTCTTCTTTTTTTCTGTTCCCATTGCTTCTACCTAAATAATTTACTCTCTGGCACCTTTTCTATAATCTGTTTGTTCATGTCAACATAAATGAAAAAATTTTATAGGTCTCCTAAATCTGCACTAGAACTGACCACACAGTGGGTTGGATCATCATTGCAGACTTAGATATCTCACTTCACTGTGGAGAGGATGGGTACTTCTATATCACAGAGGGGGACAGCAATGAGATTATATTTGATGGGGTCACTGTTAGGCTGCCTGCTAAAGTCTTGTGGATTGTTGGTGGCAGGAAGCCTCTCAAGTGGTTAAACATAGTCTAATCCCTGGTCAACTTCATTCCAGAAAAGAGCTCCAAACTCAGAGTCATTATGGAGAGTCTTTATAAGGATCTTTGAAAGTGCAGAATGACACAATGGAATGATACCATGGTGCATTATCAGAGAATTATTCATAAAAATCATATCATAATTATTATCCAGTAGTGACAATTATTGTGGAGGTGACTGAGGGTTGGTGGGTGGTGGCAGGAAATCAGAAAAATACTGAATTAAACCATAGTGAGTTATTGTTCCCTCTAGTTACAGAGGTACAGTCAAAGGACAGGGCCTTTAAAAATACTATCTCCTTTAAGATCCGCTATTTAGAGTTAGCAGGTTAAAACTACAGGCAGACTATTTATGGCCCTTTGTGCTGACATACTTTTGCTGTGAATGTCTCAATTTTTTTTTGGGGGGGGGGGGGGGGAGAGCTACATTATTCTGTTCTTGGTCTGAGCTAAATGAAGAATATAGAGTTGGAAGTTTGAGATGCATCCAAAAGGTGCTCTGAGGAAAAATCTGTATTTTCCCATTTACAAATGAGTTCTTCTTTGCAGAAGGGTAGGGCAAAAGACTTGAAATATAACGTTTCATGCTTCACTTGCCTCGTCTTTACCTAGAAATGGACTGACACACAGAAGAAATGGAACAGATATGTGGATAACAGAAATGATTTATGCAATCTAGGATGCTACCAAATCTACAGTTGCTCTTTATCTAACTGCAGCAGTGGAGTTGCAACAAATCGTGCAGTTACATAATGTTGTTGTTTGGTGTATGAATGTATTACCCAGTTTAAAAGCTGTTCTTAAATATGTTCTTTTTTTTGTTTCTATCTTTTCTTATCAGTTTTACCCTTTCAAAATGTCTAGGAAATGAAATAGGAAAGTTGCATGGGTGAAACATCCTTAGGCTGCATAATGTTTGAATGCCCATTGAAGTTAACAGGGATACTCATAAGCTTAAAGCGTTGTATGAATTTAAGTACCTTAAAAGAATTGGGGCCTAGATGAGGAAGTGAAAACAGAAAGCCTGTCCCTCCCTTCCCATCTCCCTCTGTCTGATTCCACCTCCCCTGCCCCCAAAGTTTCAATGTAGAAAGTAGTGTTTAGGTTATTTTGTTGTTTTTATTATGCACCTGTGGCTGTTTTGCCAGTAAAGTATATCCTTTTTCAGTAAGATGTGGGAACCGGATTTTCTGCTTTACAGGAAATTCCACAAAATCCTTACCATACTGAAATGGACAGAACTAAAACAAAAAAATTAAAAATGCCCAGCAAAGCTTACAGTTTGGGAAATAACTTGTGTTGAGTCAATCAAATATTTTAATTAGATAAAATTGAAACATTTCATTTTGACACAGACATAGCTTTTAATGTCTTTTCTACATATCTCTAGGTCAGGGGTGGGCAAAAGTGTGGCCCGGGGGCCCGGTGCAGCCTGCCAGGCCATTCTATCTGGCCCATGGGGCCCTTAAAACATTTAGAAAATTAATATTAATCTGCCTTGGGCTGCCTGTCATGCAGCCCTCGAAGGCTTGCTGAAACTCAGTAAGAGGCCCTCTGCCCAAAATAATTGCCTGCCCCTGCTGTAGGTAGCAGGGACTCATAAATGCTGCAATGTGGGATGCTCCATCTGCCCCACTAGGAGCACGGGGGCTCCCCAGCGTGCTCAGCAACAGACCCAGAAGTGAACCAGAAGCACTTCCAGACCACTTCCAGGTCCACCAGGGAGCCTGCAGGGTCTCCCCCCACCCCCCTCCTGCCCCCGCTTTGGCAACTGGTGCCTCCTGGGTCTAAGGGGGCACCTGGGGTCCCCCTGAAGCTGATCACCAAGCCAGAGAGGTGTGGGGGCCCCCGTGCACTCCTCAGTGGACCCAGAAGTGGACCAGATGTACTTTCACTGTCAAGCACGTGGAGGGCCCCCTAAAAACATTTAAAGCTGTGTCTGTGTCCGAATCAGCATCAAATCTTCAGATTTGGATTCAGCCAAATCGAATTGGGGATAGTGATCCAAAACAACAAATCGAATCACTGTCCCTGATTCTGGCCGAATCCAAATCCGAAGTGAATAGGGCCCATGTTGCACACCCCTAGTATTTACATGCTGTCCCTATGGCCCCAATTAAGAAAATCCTTATGTTCTGTGATTAACTTCACATTGACTTTCCTTATTCAGGTCCAAGGTCTTTCTGTTAATTTTATGAGATGGCAATTTTTCCATTTTACATGTTGGAAAATGGAGATGGTGAGCAGCTCAAACACATTGTGCCCAACATCAGAGGAAGTGTAAGGTCTAGCCAATAATAGAAAGCAGGTCTTCTGACTCAAATTCTTCTGTTTTAGCTGTGAGACCATCCTAGGTAGAACTACACTTAACAATGCCTTACACTACTGGTTGCAGAACATCTATCAACTGTATAACTGAGGGGTGGTGGGGATGGGCAACCAAGGCAGCAACCCTAGGTACCATCTTTGTGGGGGAGCTGTTCAAAGATAGCCACCACTACAGTGACAGCTAATCACACTGCTGCAGTCAGCATGCTTCTGTGGCAAGCCTGGACATAGAGGTGCCTGTTATACCTCTGTTTGCAAATAATACTTAAAAACATGTAAACAGATGGAATTTTATAATTACATAATTTCAGGGGCAAAAAATTATGCCAGGAACAGTGCAGTGTGTAATAAGATACCTCTTGATAAAACCTCTTGTTTTGGTAGTGGCATGTGTTAAAGCAGGGCTGCCCAACCTCTAAGTGGCCAGGGGCTGCAGGGCCCTCTTGGGCCACACCAGTGGAGGCCACACACTGAGTGTGCTGTACAAGGGTGGGCTGTAGGCCCCTGGGCTGCAAGCCATGCAGACACTTACAATTGCACTGCATGCCTCTCGCCCCCATCATTGCATTGTTCATTCACAAGGCCTGCTCTCCTGCCAGCTTCTGTGCTGTGCATCTGCATGGCCCCAACCTCACTCCCAGCTCCCCATGCCACCCTGCCCCACCCTCTAGGCTGAGGCCAGGAAACAGAAGCTGGAGAAGGGAGGGAAACAGAAGGGCAAATTCAAAACAGGGGGAGCCTGGAAACTCTGGCTGCCATTGCCGCTGGAGTGATGGGGGCCGGGGGGAAATGGTGGCTTGATGGGAGTCCCAGGGCCTCAGCTGAACCCTTCAGCCCACAGACCATGGGTTGGACCACCTTCTGCTAAAGAAACCCTTGGTACTACATTCCTTGTTTAACAATGCTGTAGGCCTGACAAGCAAACACATATGTTAAATCTACTCTAAGACACAGGGTTTGCAGTTATCTTTGCATCCCACAGCTTTTCAGTTTTTCTCCCTTCTGATCTATTACATAATAAAAGAAAAGGAGCAGGGATCTTGAATGTAATACCTTTTCACAGTGTCTCAGTGAGTGTATCTTGGGCTCCAGAATCTGAGCTATGATAAAAAAGGGGGGGAAAAAGAGTTAATTTTCTTATTTTCAGTGTTGTAAAAGAAACTTATAAAATACAAAACAGGGTGGTCAGAATTTCACAAATACCCTAGAGCAGTAATTTTCCATCAGGCTGTCATGGCATCTTGGGGTGCCTTGAGGACCTTTCAAGGGTGCTGTGCGGTGCCACACAATGTTAGCACTGCTAGGTGTGCAAACTTGACTCCCAAACAAACCCAGAGATTTCAAATGGGAATCCTTAGACTTAAAAACTTTCTGACCTGTTGTGGTCTTTCTGAGTTCTTTGCAATGGAATAATTGCTCTGTTTATTTTTCTGTAGTTAAAAAAGGAATGAAAACTAGGAGCTAGTATTTTCTGAGGGGTTCCTCAAGTCTAAAAAGCTAGAGAACCACTGTGCTAGAACAATAACTTTGGGAGAAAAATCAATTGTCTATATTGTCACACATAGATGCAGGGGTAGCAGTGGACATAGTCTTCCTGGACTTTTGGAAGGCCTTCTACATTGTCTCTCTCCCCATTCTCATTAAGAAACTGGGGGACTGTGGTGTCGACACCTACACAGTCAATTGGGTCACTAACTGGCTGGAGGGCTGCACCCAGAGAGTGGTGGTGGACGGGTCATTTTCGACCTGGAGGGATGTGGGCAGCGGGGTTCTGCAGGGCTCGGTCCTCGGGCCGGCACTGTTCAACATCTTCATCAGCAACTTGGACGAGGGGGTAAAAAGCACCCTGTTCAAATTTGCTGATGACACTAAGATGTGGGGGGACGTAGGCACGCTAGAAGGGAGGAATAGGCTGCAATTGGATCTAGACAGGTTACAGGGGCGGGCAGATGAGAATAGGATGGGATTCAACACCAACAAGTGCAAGGTGATGCACCTGGGGAGGAACAACCGGCACCATACCTACAGGCTGGGGAACTCCCTTCTCATCAGTGCAGAGGCAGAAAAGGATCTTGGAGTCATCACTGATGCCAAGATGAACATGGGCCGGCAGTGTGGGGATGCAGTTAGGAAGGCCAACTGCACCTTGTCATGCATCCACAGATGCATCTCAAGCAGGTCCAAGGAGGTGAT